TGATGAACACCTGTTTTAGCAGTTTGAAATGTTTTCAACTCAATGGGCTAATGCAAGCCATAAAAGTTTCTACTCCATTGCAGTATCCTCTGCTTAAACTTTCTATGTGTGATCTCCCTATAAATCCTTATAATGTTTTTCATGTACCTTTTATATAGAAGCTGTCTTATTTAAATATCCACATAATTTAGTATAAACCTACTTGAAGGCCTAGGTATAATTAGTATTATCAATTCATACTATGTTAGATCTAGTTTTCAACTCATTCATCCAACTTTTATATAATCTTGGATGTTTTGATGTTAAGATAAAAAAAACAAAGGAAGCAGAAAGCTGGACCTTATTGATATTCTCAGGTTCTTGATTGTCAGATTTCATTAGCTGTATAGCAAAAGATACTTACTTAAAGATGAACATCTAAAATCTCAATATCTTTGTGTTATTATGAAACCAGTTTGTTTAATTCCCAATAGAAACATAAGAACATACGAGTAAGAATTTTAAAATTATAAAAAAAAATTATTCTTGCTGCTTTGAGAACTCACAATAGATGTCAAATTAAGTTGCCATATTAAGATTTTCAAAGGGAATTGACAGAAAATTCAGAATATCTTTAATTTAAGGTGGTCCTTATTTGCAGGTAAAATTTCAGGTTAAAAATTCTAAAGCTCTCACCCTCTAATTTTGTTTCAATGTACAAAAGAATATTAAATGTCAAACTTCATCAATTTTAGACCACATTTTGATGTTACTTATTGAGGTTGAAGTTTTAGACTACAGTGACCTGGTTTCATTTGTACTGTGTGATATAGAACATATTTTTTATGTATTATAAATTATTTATTTGAAACATGTTATCTTACTGCATGTACAATATTATAACTACAGATTTGTTAATAGTGTGGCTAGTCACTTTTGCATTGTTATTGTTTCCTTTTTGCTATTAGGGAAGTGTCTTCTATGATCCTGAACATCTTGAAAGAGAAATTGTTTTTGTTCTTCTTTCTTTGCTGTGATAGCATTATACTTCTGAATAAGGGCCACATCCCTTTCAGCATTGTCATTTACCACATTCAAGTGTTGAGCTTTCTGTAGTGCCCCTTTGTAGTCCTCTAAGCTACTGTAACTCTGAGTCATAATTCAGAAATCCAGATGGAATTTCAGGACACCTGAAGAAATTATGTTCTTTGGGATGAAATCTTCAATTGACATGTCTTCAGACTTGATATTCAACTGGATGCACTTTGGAGATTCATTCATGCTTTTCTTCTTATTTAGTACCTTTACCATTTTTCACTTTGTCTCAATGGATACAGCTGAATCAAAGAATACCAAACCAGTGAGTTCCTCACTGAGATACCTTAGATGTCCAACAAATTTTTGACAGGCAGATTTTAAAAGAGCAGAATTCACTTTCTTATGCTTAACAAGACATTGTAGGAAGGTAAGATAATTGCAAGGAGCAGAAATGGCATTAAGAGCAGTGAACCATGCCCCAAGATAGACTTGAACAACAAAGATGCAGATATCATGCAGTTCTCTTTCCTTATGGCCAGTGAGCTTAAATTCTCCCATAAACATTTAGATCTGGAGGACATATAATGCTTGGGCCATCCATCATGCATGATCACTTCTCCAGGTGTTGTAAAGCACACTCCATGAGGAGAAATTCCACCAAGGAAGGTTATGGCTGGTTCAAAAAACTCTCAATGCTTGCATCTAGGTTGGCTGACTGGAAGTTGTCTTGTAGCAAACCTAGTGACACTCTCCTTAG